ACTAGTAACAAATGATATATCTGCAAAAACATTTATAAATCTTAAAACATTAAAACATTTAAAACTGAATGATAATGAAAATATAACATATTAGAATTCATGGGATGAAGTAAAGCAGTGCTTCAGGAACTGTTCATATTCGAAAAGATAAAAGTGTAAAGTCAATGGTATAGGTTTCCATCTTAAGAAATAAAAACAAGCAACTTAAACACAAAAATCACAGAAGCAAATACGGTTTGGCTATGAGCTGTTGCCCACTTCTATTCAGCTTGTACTGGAGGCCCTACCAGCATAGTAAGGCAAGATAAAGAAATAAAAGCACAAAAACCAGAATGAAAAAAGCACAATTGCCTCTATTCACAGTGATTTCTTTGTTTATACAGAAAATCCTAAGAAATATAGTAGACAAATACTAGACAATGAATTTAGAAAGGTAATGAAATATGAGACAAAAATCAACTGTATTTCTTTTTTTTTTTTTTTGTTAGACAAAGGGGACTTTAAGACAAGAAGTATTAAAATATATTAGGGAGGGTGAGTTCAAATGGGCCAATTTAACAAACAGGAATAGTAATCATAAATGTATATGCTACCTAGTAACAGTTTTAAAACATGAGGCAAAAAAATGACAGAATCAGAGGGAAAAATAGACACACAATCCAAGTTGGAGATGTTAACAACCTTCTCTCAATAACTGACAGAAAAATTAGGCAAAAATTAGTAACAGTATAATAGATTTGATCAAATGTACCAACCACCTAAACCTAGTGGGCATTTACAGACCACCACACTATGCAACAATGATAGAACATGTTCTTCTTAATTGTACATGGAACTTTGGCCAAGACAGACCATATGCTGAGCCAAAAAATAAGTCTAAATAAATGGCAAAACTTGAAGCTTACAAACTGTTACCTAATCATGACACAATTAATTTAGAAACTAGTAACAAATGATATATCTGCAAAAACATTTATAAATCTTAAAACATTAAAACATTTAAAACTGAATGATAATGAAAATATAACATATTAGAATTCATGGGATGAAGTAAAGCAGTGCTTCAGGAACTGTTCATATTCGAAAAGATAAAAGTGTAAAGTCAATGGTATAGGTTTCCATCTTAAGAAATAAAAACAAGCAACTTAAACACAAAAATCACAGAAGCAAATACGGTTTGGCTATGAGCTGTTGCCCACTTCTATTCAGCTTGTACTGGAGGCCCTACCAGCATAGTAAGGCAAGATAAAGAAATAAAAGCACAAAAACCAGAATGAAAAAAGCACAATTGCCTCTATTCACAGTGATTTCTTTGTTTATACAGAAAATCCTAAGAAATATAGTAGACAAATACTAGACAATGAATTTAGAAAGGTAATGAAATATGAGACAAAAATCAACTGTATTTCTTTTTTTTTTTTTTAATTTTATTTTTTATAAACATATAATATATTTTTATCCCCAGGGGTACAGGTCTGTGAATCTCCAGGTTTACACACTTCACAGCACTCACCATAGCACATACCCTCCCCAATGTCCATAATCCCACCCCCCCAACCCCCCTCCCCCCATTAACCCAGTTACCAGTTGCACACAACTGAAAAATGAGAGAACGAGAGTAATAACCAATTAAAAGACCCCACTGAGGATATGAAAACACAAGCCACAGATCATGAGAAAATATTTGCAGTACATTAACGTGACAAGAGTTGTATCCAGAATATATAAAAAATTCACACAGGTCCATAATAAAAAGAAAATTTAAAAAAAGCCAAGGGGCACCTGGGTGGCTCACTTTGTTAAGTGTACAACTCTTGATTTTGGCTCAGGTCATGATCTCAGGAGCCTGAGATCCAGCCCTGTGTCAGGCTCTGTGCTCAGCAGAGAGTATGCTTGAGATTCTCTCTCTCCCCATCCCTCGGCCACTCCCCCCCAACTCACACTCACTTTCTAAAATAAACAAATTTAAAGAATAATAACAAAAAATAAAAATAGTAAAAAGATTTCACAAAGCAATTTATATGAATGGACAGTTAAGCTATGAAATACCTCCACACATCCACTAGAATCATTCACATTAACAAGTCTAATATCAAATATTGCAAGTATGTAAAAGAATAGATTTGTCTGTCAGATAGTGGTGGAGAGAGTACAAAACGGTACAAATGCTTTGGGAAAAAGTTGGCAGTTTCTTCTGTAGTTAAACATATTCTATGAAAAAAATATATATCCAAGAGAAATAAAAACTTATCTCCAGACTTTCACAAAATTATTCACAGCAGCGTTATACATAACAGCCCAAACTACAAACAACCTTTAAGTCCATTAACAGTTAAATGGATAAACAAATTGCGGCATATTCATACTATAGAATGCTGCTGTTATAGGTTGAATTGGGCCCCCCAAGAAGACAGACTGAAGTCTTAACCACCAATACCTATGAATGTAACCTTACCTTGAAACAAGGTTTTAGCAGAGGTAATTAAGATATAAACTGAGATGAGGTCATATTGGAGTGGAGTGGACCCTTAATCCAACATAAAGGGTGTCTTCATAAAAAGAGAAGGGGAAAGACAAAAATTTAGGGAGTAGGCTATGGTACTATAGAGGCAGAGAATGTTGTATGTTGTCTACAAGTCAAGGAACAGCAAGAATTGCGGAAAACACCAGGAACTAAAGAGAAAGGCATGAAACAGATTGTGCCCTACATCTTCGGAGAGATTCCTGACACCTTGACTTCTAGTCTTTACAACTGTGAGAAAATAAACTTCTACTATTTTAAGTCACTGGGTTTTGGGCTACTTCATTACAACAGCCTTAGTAAACTAATACAAACTACCCAATAATAAAAGGAGAGGAACTACTGATATACCAGATGAATCTCAAAAACACTAAGTTCAGTGAAAGAAGCTAAACCCAAAGCTACTCTATGACACAAGAACATCAGAACCATGGTTGCTTTTGGCCAGATACAGCAAGTCATGGGCGTGTCAAGATTGGGAAAAAGCATGATGATGTTTTCTCAATTGACTAAAATGTCCTCTCTCTTGATTTCTGTGAGGTTACAAAGTTAGCATTTGTCAAACCTCACTGAGTTGTACACTTAAGTTCTGTGCACATAGTTCAAAAGAAAAAAATCTGTAAATAAATATTAAACTCTAGGGGAACGTGGGTGGCTCACTGGGTTAAAGCCTCTGCCTTCAGCTCAGGTCATAATCCCAGGGTCCTGGGATAGAGCCCCGCATCAGGCTCCCTGCTCAGTGGGGAGCCTGCTTCCCCGCCTCTCTCTCTGCCTGACTCTCTGCCTACTTGTGATCTCTGTCAAATAAATAAATAAAATCTTATAAAAAATGGATATTAAACTGTAGTTACTAGCTATGCATTTTGTAGAAGTTTAAGTTAGCAAATCTGAAAATATTTTGTGTACTCTAGGCTTAGGCAAACAATAATAAAAGCCAGGTCTCTCATTATTAGAGGAGACAATTATAAATACAGGGGAAAAAAAGATGCAACAACAAACCTGGTTGTGGTGAATTAGAATAGAAGGTTACTAGTATAAACTCACGTTTTTTAATATAGATATCTAGCTAGCAAGTAAGAAAAGGGGATGAAGAATGACAGATATTTTCCTTCACATATCTTTCTATCTTTCTGGATCTGAAAAGGCAAAAAAAGTAAGGGAATAAGTTAAAGGGATAAGAATATACTTCACTAATGGAGATGGTTCTCTTGAATGGATTCTCATTCAATGTGTGGAAGAACTTTTTAGTTCTAATGTTTTGTGGTGTACCTAAATTATTATTTTTCAGACCTAAGAAGGATAGACTTATAGAAGAAGGAATGAAGAGTGAAAACTTTTTTTTTTATTTTTAAAGATTTTTATTTATTTGACGGAGAGAGAGATCACAAGTAGGCAGAGAGACAGGCAAAGAGAGAGGGGAAGCAGGCTCCCCGCCAAGCAGACAGCCTGATGTGGGACTCGATCATGACCTGAGCTAAAGGCAGAGGCTTAACCCACTGAGCCACTCAGGTGCCCCAAGACCGAAAACATTTTTAAAGTTTCAATTCCATCTTGGTAGTTGTCTAGCCTAGCCAGGTTAATCACTGGCTAATGAAAACATTGTTAGGTAGATACTTACTACCAAACTACCTTCAGTCTTTCTTGGATGTCTTATGTATTTACCTGTTGATAGGCAGCAACTGGAGATGACCTATTTTAATTCAAGGAAAGTAATTTAGCTCTTTTTAAAAAGAGTACATAAATTAGTTTTTTTTTTCCAGTTCTCAATTTTCTGTTTCACTGCAAATTAGTATATTTGACAGGGTTTTTATTTTGAGAAATACAGAGTAATCTGTTCCCTAAATATATTAACACTATCGGGCGCCTGGGTGGCTCAATGGGTTGAAGCCTCTGCCTTCGGCTCAGGTCATGATCCCAGAGTCCTGGGATCGAGCCCCACATCGGGCTCTCTGCTCAGCAGGGAGCCTGCTTCCTCCTCTCTCTCTCTGCCTGCCTCTCTGCCTACTTGTGATCTCTGTCTGTCAAATAAATAAATAAAAATCTTTAAAAAAAATATATTAACGCTAGTAAATGCCTCAAAATAAATTTTTTTTCCTCCAAAATTGTAGGGAATCCCCCCCCTCTTTCTTTTTTGGAATTAATAGTCAAGTATACAAATGTAAAAGCCATCAAAATTAGAATACTCAGTCTGCTAAATGATGATGAATCAAATCAGTGATAGGCACAGCATCCCTAAGTAGATATGTAAGGAATCAATTTGGATTTTGACAGCCCTCCTTAGATCATGTCACCGTGTACGGAAGCCACCATGAGCCAGTCCAGTAGATATAAAACAGTGAGAGCTGGGAGCTGATATGACAAATTCTACAGATTTCATTTGTTAAACTACTATTGGAATGATGTCTACCTGCAAACAGAATAAGAGAGAGCACACAAAGAAAGACAGTAAACACATGGGACAAAAGATCCTGCACCTTACCATCCACAGGCTTGACTTCAGCTGGTATCTGCTCTTCCTGTCCTCCCATGCTATTCTCTTTAATGCTTTCTATTTCCCGCAAAAACTCCTCCATGGAGGTACTGTCTATGGAGGCTTGTGAGTTGGAGCGGCTAAATGCAGGAGAATGTAGGGACTCGTTGGAGAGCATTCTGTTAATTCTTCGGCAGCGAGGAATAGATTTTCTGCAGAAAGAACAATATCTGTTGTTAATAAAAATCAGTCTTTGATGTTACAAATCACAAAATAAAATTTAGGTTTAAAATCAGTGGAGAAATGAAGTTAAGTGTGACAGAGAGGGGTTTGAGAGAATAATCTGCATTCAGTGGTGGCCCTTTTATTTTATTCTCTATAATTCATAATGACTTTGTGGCTATGCAGGAATCCCCATGAAAATATAATTTTCACACACTCATAAAGTATGAAGTTACTTGTATTAGCCAAAATATATAGTTCAAGCCAATATCTCTGATGAACACAGCTACAAAAATCCCCAATTAGCAAACTGAATTCAACAATACATTAAAAGAATCATTCAATATCACTATTTCAGGGATGCAAGAATGGCTCAATATCTGCAAATCAATCAACATGACATGTAACAATCACAAAAGAAAGGATATTAACCATATGATCATCTCAAAAGATGCAGAAAAAAACATATAACAAAATTCAGTATCCATTCATGATAAAACCTCTTAATAGAGTGATTAATAATTTAATCACTTAATAAAGTGATTGAGATATGTATATATTATACATATCTCAACATAATAAAGGCCATGTGTGACAAAGTCACAGCTAACACAATACTCCATGGTGAAAGACTGAAAACTTTTCCTCTAAGATAAGGAACAAAGATGTCTACTCTCACGTTTTTATCCAATACAGTTCTAGAAGTCCTAGTGACAACAATCAGATAAGAAAAAGATGTGAGCCTTCCAAATATGTAAGGAAGAAGTGAAACCATCAGTATTTGCAGATGACATGATACTATATAGAAAACCCTAAAAATGCCACCAAAAACTATTAGAATCAATCCATGAATTCAATAAAACTGCAAGATACAAAATTAATACACTGAAATCTGTGGAGTTTCTTTTTTTTTTTTTAAGATTTTATTTATTTATTTCAGAGAGAGAGAACGTGCACACAAGTGGGGAGAGACAGGTCAAGGGAGAGGGAGAAGCAGACTCCGTGCTGAACTGGGAGTCTGATGTTGGGTTCGATCCCAGAACCCTGCGATCATGAACTGAACTGAAGACAGATGCTTAACCGAGCCACTAAGGTGCCCTGTAGTGCTTCTATACACTAATAATGAATTAGCAGAAAGAGAAATTAAGAAAATGATCCTATTTATAATGTCATCAAAAAGAATAAAAGACCTAGAAATAAATTTAACAAAGGAAGTGAAATACCTGTACTTTGAAAACTCTAAGACACTGGTGAGAGAAGTTGAAGACAACTCAAGTAAATAGAAATATACACCATGCTCATGGATTGGAAGAATTAATATTGTTAAAATGTCCATACTCCCCAAGCAATCTACAAACTCAATGCAATCCCTATCAAAATAATAATAGTATTTTTCACAAAACTAAAACAAATAATCTTAAAATTTTTATGGAACTACAAAAGAATCTGAAGAGACAAAGCAATCTTGAGAAAGATAAGTTGTAGGTATCATAATCACAAATTTTAAACTATATTACAAAGCTACAGTAATTAAAACAGTATAATACTGCCACAAGGCACATGGATCAATGGAACAGACTAGAGAACCCAGAAATAAGCCCACACTTACACAGTCAATTAATCTATGACAAAGGAGTTAATATACAGTGGGGAAAAGGCAGTCTCTTCATTAAATGGTGTTGAGAAAACTGGACAGGTACATGCAAAAGAATAAAAGTGAACCACTCTGGGACACTTGGGTGGCTCAGTTGGGTAAGTGCCTGCCTTCAGCTCAGGTTATGATCCTGGCATCCTGAGATCGAGTCCCACATCGGGCTCCCTGCTCAGGGGCAGCCTGCTTCTCCCTCTGCCTCTGCTGCTCGTGCTGTCTCTCACTCTCTATCTCAAATAAATAAATAAAATCGTAAACTTCCCCCCAAAATTGAACCCCCTTTCTATACCAAGATACAAAAATAAATTCAAAATGGATTAAAGACATAAATGTAAGACCTGATACCATAAAACTCCTAAAAGAAAACATAGGCAGTATCCTCTTGGACATAAATCTAAGTAGTATTTTTTGGGATGTGGTTCCTCAGGCAAGGGCAACAAAAACAAAAATAAACAACTGGCAATCCATCAGACTAAAAAACTCTGGACAGTGGAGGAAGGAAGGAAACAACACAACAAATAGGAAACTTATTGAATGGGGAAACATATTTACAAATGGTACATCTGGTAAGAAGTGTATGGTGTATACTGGAAGGGTAATTTATGCAAGCATGACCCAAATGTCCCTATTAATCACTATCTTGAGATCTTGTCCTCCTTCTATATTCCCATCAAACAGAATGGGTAGAATATATTGTTCAGTGTTCAAGGTTAGGGGCTCCAGGGGTATCAACCCAGAGCAATACCCTTATAACAAAGAATGTCTGAATGGTAGGACTTGATCTCCTTCGAATGCTGGCTGTGCAAGGAAGGGTAGGGCTACAGATAGTTGCAGGCTAATAGCTATACTATAAAAGCTTACAGCACGTAGATTCCAGAAGTGGATGCTTTGTCCAGTTGGCTGTTTCTAGACATCCTCTATATAAGTTCCCCCAATAAATCTATGTCTTAATCCCCGTCTCTGAGTAATTTCTTCAATCTCGCCAGACCATCATACACCTCTGGCTTAGAGTCTGCTGGGATGTGGTAACACAAGGGGTTAATATCCAAAATATATAAAAAATTCATAAAACTCAACATCAAAAAAAAAAGTCTAAATAAAAATGGGCAGAGGATCTAAACAGATACTTTTCCAAAGAAGATATACAAAGTAGTCAAAGACACATAAACGGATGCTCAACATGATTAATTGTTAGGGAAATGTAAATCAAAACTACAATAAGATATCACCTCACACCAGTCAGAATGGTTAGTATAAAAAAGACAAGAAATAACAAGGGTTGGCAAAAATGTGGAGAAAAGGGAACCCCTGTGTACTGTTGGTGAGAATGTACATTAGTGCAGCCACTACAGAAAAAGAGTATGAAGGTTCTTCAAAAATTTACAAATAAGAATAGAATTCAATCCAGTAATTCCACTTCCGTGTATTTACCTGAAGAAAGTTAAAACACTAATTTGAAAAGATATGTGCACCCCTATATTTATTGCAGCGGTATTTATAACAGCCAAGATATGGAAGAAACCTGTGTCCACTGATAGATGAATGGATAAAGAATGTGATAAACACACACACACACACAAATATGGAGTATTACTCAGAGTTAAAAAGAATAAACTCTTGACTTTTCAACAACATGAATGGACCTAGAGTGTATTATGCTAAGTGAAATAAGTCAGAGAAAGACAAATGCCATATGATTTCACTTATATGTGGAATCTAAAAAACAAAACAAATGAACAACTAACAAAAAATCAGACTCATAAATACAGAGAACAAATGGTGGTTTCCAGAGGGGAGGGGAGTAGAGCCATGTATGAAATAGGTGAAGGGGATTAAGAGGTACGAAATTCCAGTTGTAAGTCTTGGGGATGAAAAGTGCAGCATGGGGAATATAGTCAATAAATTGTAATAATGTTGTATGGAGACATACAGTGACTATACTCGTCATCGTGAGCATTTTCAAAAAATATTGTAAATATATAAATGTCAAATCACTATGATGGATATCTGAAACTCAGGTTTCAGTGGGGATGAGGGAATGAGAAGTTTTTGTTTAAAGAGTATAGAGTTTCAGTTTTACAAGAGAAAAAGAGTTCTGGAAAGAGGTAGTAGAGATGGTTACAACAATGTGAGTGTCTTGATACCACTGAGCCATATGCTTAAAAATGGTTAAGATGGTAAATTTTATCTTATATGAATTTTACCAGAATTTTTAAGATTTTATTTATCAGAATTTTTAAAAATTAACAAAAAACTGGGAGCCTAGGTGGCTCAGTCAGTTGAGTAGCTGACTCTTTATCTCAGGATCATAAGTTCGAGCCCACACTGGGCTCGACACCAGGCATGGAGACTACTTTAAACAAACAAACAAATATTTTTAAAAAGTTGGCTGCTGAAATAATGAGATAGTACAAGGAAATAATTTGTGACATTAAATAGAATTACCCTACATTAGGGTGAGGAAGAGGGTAATGACCTGGCACACAAAGACCCATAGTTAGTTCATGGAGAGCTGTATTACCACGAAGCGTGGGATCCAACCACTGAGGAGGGCAGAGCAGGCTCCTGTTATCTATGAGGGCCACAATAGGACCACTGTCAATCTTGAAGACACACAGCTGAGAAGAGCATGGAGCAGCTTCATGGGGCACTTTCTCATGGAGTTGCTTCAATCACTAAATAAATTTGCACGTGTATGCCTTTAGAACATAAAATTATCAAACAAATGTTAGTTTAAAAATCAAGAGACACAATGGGGGACATACATGCCAAAATGCTGGAATTCTGAGAAATTTTTAAGATTTGCATAAAAATAAAATTATTTTGGGGGCACCTGGGTGGCTCAGAGGGTTAAAGCCTCTGCCTTCGGCTCAGGTCATGATCCCAGGGTCCTGGGATCGAGCCCCACATCGGGCTCTCTGCTCAGCAGGGAGCCTGCTTCCCTTTCTCTCTGCCTGCCTCTCCGCCTACTTGTGATCTCTCTCTGTCAAATAAATAAATAAAATCTTTAAAACAAAAATTATTTTTATGTGAGGTGGTGATGTGTTAAGGGATCTTATTGTTATGGTAATCATTTTGCAATATATACATGTATCAAATCAGCATGCATGCATCTTAAATTTAACCCAATGTTATATGTCAAATATCTCAATAAAACTGGAAGAAATTCAAAATACATTTGATTTCTAAGACATATGATTGACAAATATCATATTTCCTAGGAACAATGTCTGATTAACAAGAACACTTCAGTCTCCAACCATGAATAACTGAGCTGCATTATGCGGTATGATCATCTGTTCTTGCTCTTATGTTATTATTATTTTTTTTAATCTTCCA